TTCCCAAGTAGGCTTTTAGGTGGCATGATTCAATCCAGTTCAGTACTAAGCATTCATTAAGCACCTAAGGAAAAGCCAAGCGTTGTCTCAGGCTAGAGATAAGAAGATAAAAATGAAACAGCTCCTGCCTTCAAGGAGATTACATTCTACTAGATTTGGTTACATAGGCTATTCAAGTCTGTTTTCCTGCAGGAGTCCCAGCTTGGTGGGAGATGTAACTTGCAGGTTATAGCAGTGTCCCCCACCCCCAAAGAATCCAGAAACTGTCCCCTAAGTTTCTGAATGCTCCCCAGCAGGGGGCTCCCCTCCTCCATAAGAACTGCCCAGTACAGGATGTAGATTCAGGAGCAGGATTTTTTTTTTTCCCTGGGACAAATACAAAAAAACCACACTTAGGTCAACTGGTATAAAGTGTGTCCTCAACAGAGAGGCATGTGGGACACTGTCCTAATGGGGGAAAGGGACAAAATGGAGAACCCAGGAGGGCTGCTGGAGAGGCCTCCAGAAGGTGGAGTGGGTCAAGAACTAACCCCTATCAGACCTGATAATTTCCTAATTTAACTAGGCTTATTTGTTTAACCTATACATATTTGTTTTGAGTTTTTGTTTTCTTTTTTCTTTTCCTACTGTGGGGAGATGGAAGAGAGAGAAGATAAATGCTTTTAAATTGAAAAAAATTTAATTAAATTAAATCTGTTCTATCTTTTTGAATTAGGTGTTAAACACTGTTGTTCCTACACTGCCAAGTGCTGTTAGCAAACTCTAAATCTGGTGCCTTCTAAATTTAGCACGGGAGGCAAAATTGCAGTTTCCCCACCCTAGTCATGGTCCACGTCTGCCAGAGAGCCTCCACCCCTTTCCCAATCTGTCCTCGATAAAAGACACCTTTGTTGCAGGACTGTTAAGAAGGTCTGTGGCTCAGTCTTAAAGACCAGCTCCCACTGGCCCAAGACGGCAAATGTCTGCATCTGCTGTGACTGCTGCTCTCTGGGCATAGATGGGGAAACCCCCCATGACCACCTTGGGTGGCAGCACCTGGCCACAGTGACAGGCATGGCTGGAGCCACCATGGCCATTCTTGAAACTATTTTCTCATTACCTCCATCAGATTCTCAAGTACGTGGGAAGGCAGGGAAAGAGAAAAAAAGAGGGTAGACTTCAAAGTGTGTACTGTTACTTTAAAGGGTCTAGGGACCTCTGGCATAGTAATAGTAGCAGTAGTAAAAATAAAAATAATAATTAGTAGTAGTAAATGATAATAATACCTAACATGTACTAGTACTTTCATATTTGCATATTTGCTTTACTATTTAATATCTGAACACTTTACAAATATCTCTTTTAATCCTTACAACAACCCTGTGTACTAGTATTATCCTTATTTTACTGTTGGGGAAACTGAGGTAGACAGAGGTTAAACGACTTGTCTAGGGTCACACAGCTAAGTGTGTGAATTTGAACTCAGGTGTTCCTGATTCCAGGCTCAGCACCTCAAGCCACTGTGCCACCTAGTTGCCTATTATAGTAGTATCATACAACATCAATGTAAAATTCAAACAGAAACAGAAGCCACTAAATGACATAAGGATCCCTAAGGGCCACATACTGACTTAGAAAACCACATATTAATATTATCTGTGTTTTATTGTATTTTATTTATTTTATAAAATATTTCCCAATTACTCTGGAGTTTGGTAGTCTAGAGTCTTATGGGTCACATCTGGCCTAGTTTTGACACTTTGGGGTTCAAGATAATAGAATGTGTTGTCAGAGATGTAGCTGTCACGGAGAGGTAGGTGGAATATTGGATAAAGGGCTGGACTTGTACTCTGGAAGACTTGAGTTCGAAGCCTGCCCTAGACACTATCTCTGTGACCCTTAGGCAAATCACTGAACAGTTTTCTCATCTATGAAATGAGGGGGTTGAATTTAATGGCCTCCAAGGTCCCCACAAGCTCTAAATCTGTGATCCTAGGTAGAGTGTTGGGCCTTCAAGACCTGAATTCAAATCTGATCTCAGACATTTATTAGTGTGACCCTGGGCAAGTTACTTAACCTCTATTTGCCTCAGTTTCCTCATTGGTAAAATGAGGATTATCATACCTCCCAGGGTTGTTGTAAGGATCAAATGAGAAATAAAAAAACAAGGTGGCACAGTGGATAGAGCTCCGGCCTTGGAGTCAGGAGGATCTGAGTTCCTATCTGGCCTTAGATACTTGATACTAGCTGTGTGACTCTGGGCAAGTCACTTAACCCCAATTGCCTCACCAAAGACAAGAGAGAGGGGGGTCTTGCTTATCTTGCTTCCTTCCTTTGTTGCTGTTGTTTTTGAGTGGTTTCGGCCGTATCCAACTCTTCATGACCCCATTTAGGGTTTTCTTGGCAAGGATACGAGAATGGTTTGCCATTTCCCTCTCCAGTTCATTTTACAGGTGAGGAAACTGAGACAGAGTTAAGTGACTTACTCAGGATCACCCAACTAGTAAGTCTCTGAGGCCAGAGTTGAACTCAGGAAGATAGGTCTCCCTGACTGCAGGCCAGGCGCTCTGTCCAGTGTGCCACCTAGCTGCCCCATCTACCATCTACTCTACCATCACAGATCAGCATAAATACCAGCCACAAGCCTGGGCTCCCCCTACTTTTTACCTGCTTGACTACAGACAACCTCAGAATGGAAAATCGGTCCTTGCTTAGATCGTTGGTAACAAATGCTACTTTCCTGCCCCCCAGATCAATTTGTTCTGTCTTTTTCCTCTGGGGTAATTAATATTGGCACTCCTTTGTGTCTTTGTCATTGTGTTTTATGGGTGGGTACTCCTGGATTTCTGTGTTCAATTTTTCAGCTTCTGCTGTTCCAGAGCCCACACTTAACTTGTACTAGTTTGGGAAAGGAAGAAGTAATAAAGCCATAGAGTCAGATCCAGTCTAGAATTATCTGACTTGTACCTACCGAGCTTCCTTCTGGATTCCTTTCCCTAGAGAATTGTGCTTGAAGGAAGAGTAATGTTAACAATTTCAGTATGGAAGAGGAGCCAAAGGCTAAGCATGGGGGTGTGACCTTCATAGATTCTTTATTACTCCCAACTAAGCTTGGCTCTGTGATTTCTCACATTCCCTAGCTCTGTCATGTCAGGGTAAAGTCCTTCAGCTAGTTGAGAAGGCTAGTCTGAACTAGCCTTGGAAAACGTTGTCTCTTCTCTCAATGAAACCAGGGCCTGGGGTAGGGGAAGTGGGTCAAACAGCCCTGCTCACCCACCTGAACTGTTTGCAGCTGCTTAGGAATAAGGGAGTAGGATTAAAAATATAAAAAGATCAAGAATACTCTCTTTGATCCAGTCTGTCCTTGCCTCAACATCTGGAGCAGGGGAGACTTCCTCTTCTTTCCTTTCAACCAACCCTCCTCTTCTTCAAGAGGAGCAGAAGCAATACCAGCTGCTAGGCAGCCTGGGACAAGAGAGGTGAGCAGGCTCCAGCTAACAATTTCCATGAGACAGGCCAAGCAAATTATCATAATGCCAAGCCTATTCAACAGAATTTCACGGGAGGCAAAAGTTGGTGTTATTTGCTCTTCTAAATTCTGGAAAAACGTTGCTGTTGAGTTTGGGGGTTTTTTTAAAGTGCATATTAATCTCACAGGGTATTGAGTAAAATACCCCTTGATTCTCTAAGGCAAAGATCCTTAACCTGGGGTCTGTGAACTTGTGTTTTTTTTTAATTGATAATGTATTTCAATATAATTGGTTTCTATTGTAATCTTGTTGTTTTATTTATTACAAAATAAATAAAATTATTGTGATGATTATATTTATAATATAAAATTACATATTCTAAAGAAAAAGTTATTCTGAGAAGGGGTCAATAGGCTTCACCAGGCTCCCAAAAGGGGCCATCACACACACACACACACACACACACACACACACACACACACACACACACACACACAGAGGTTTAGAAACACTGTCCTAAGGATAGCATAGTCCTAATACAAAATGGTAGATGGGACCCAAGACAAGAAGAAGGTAAAGTCTGAAAGTAGGAGGTGAAGGAAACAGGTCTAATGCCTTTCTCATAGCTACAAAAGCAAGAGTGATAGTCATTATATATGACAAAGAGTCTTTTTTCCCTTTTAAATAGTATTTTATTTTTTCCAATTACATGTAAAGACAATTTTTAAGATTCATTTTTAATATAAAATTTTAAGTTCCAAATTTTCTCCCTCCCTTCCCCCCTTCCTAAGACAGTAAACAATTTGATATGTTATATATGTGCAATCGTGTAAAACATATATCCATATTAGTCATGTTATAAAAGAAGAAACAGAACAAAAGAAAAAAACTTTTAAAAAAATGAAAACAGTATGCTTTGTCCTCTATTCAGACTTTATCAGTTCTTTCTCTGGTTGTGCATAGCATTTTCCATCATGAGTTAGAGTCTTTCAAATAGCAGGATCATAAGCAAGGGGTCTATTGAACAGCCTGTTGTTTGCCTTGGGGACAATCACAGCCATCATACATGTAGGGTTGTCCAATTCCAGTCCTGAAAGCTCCCCAGGCCATAATGCTTTACCTGCCAGTTTATGGAGGCATTGTCCTCTCCCTAGGGGTCCTCCATCTTCCCATTGCCTGGCATGGACATCCAGGCCTTTGCCAGTTGCCATGTTAGTGCAACGTGGTAGCAGCCCTATCTCACACCCAGTCTGTGTGCTGAATTCCAGTTGTTCCCCTGAGAACACCAGTGCCCCAGTGATTGTCCCATAGAAGTCATAGATTTAGAAGTAGAATAATCCTTAGAAGTCATCTAGGCCAATTCACTCATTTTACAGATGCAGCCCAGAGGGATGAAGTGATTGACCAAAGGTTACACCGATGGCAGAGCTGAGATTTAAACCCAGGCTTTCTGATAAGAAATTTTTAAAAATACAATTTTATTGATATCTTTTTTTAACATTGTCTAAATTTCTTCATCTATCCCTTCCCTTTCCCCTTCCAGAGAGACATCTCATATTACAAAGAATTTTTTTTAAAGGAAAAAGAAAAAAGGGAAGAATAGGAAGCTGAAAGAAAGGAGAGGAACCGTGACTGAGATAGATGGGATGAAGGGAACAGATGAGGTAGAGGAGGCAGAACTATTCACTTCAATTTTGCTTTTCTGATGTATTCCAAGAAGAACCGTCTTTGGGCTGGGCTGGGCTAGAATATAAATGGTTAACAGGGAGTTGCAATCCAGCATAAATAAGAAGATAAGAATGCCCCTGGACTCTGTGCTTGGCTTTGTTCCATTTAGCATTTCAATCAAGGACTTGGATGAAGTCAAGGATGACATGACATCCAAATATCAACAACTTGGAAGAAGTCAAGGATGACACACCATACAAATCTCGATGACTTGGATGAAGTCAAGGACAATATGCCATCTAAATCAACAGATGACACAGAGCTAGCAGGGATAGCTGGCTAGCAAACTGAATGACAATCAGGAACTGAAACAACAACTGAAACAAACAAACAAAAAAAGGTGATAGAGATAATTGAAAAAAACGTGTGCAGCCTAAGTCCCAAAACCACTGGTGTGGGACTCTCTCCTCGTTGGTGGAGGGTCAGAGTTGAGGAGAGTGGGAGAGAGGAGAGCTCCTGTCTCTTTTGCCTCTTCAGCCTTTACTGTCAATTTGGGCTTCTGGTTCCCGTGTCAAGAGAAAAGACGGATGATGCCAATTCCACTTCAGACTGCTGAAGGAAAAGCCAGCTTGAGAGGAGCTGGCAATCTCCATCAAGTCCATATTCCCAGCTTGCTACACTAGAGACTTCAAGAAATTTTCCTTTGGGTAAGATCTAGGCCTCTCTCTCTGTCTCTGTCTGTCTGTCTGTCTGTCTCTCTCTCTCTCTTGCTAAGTTCCCTCCTTCCCGATGGAAGAACTCCTTCATTCTGTATTGTCTGGTATGTTTTCTCCTATGTATAATTTCTCTGATTTCTGTTTTGCTATTGACGAATAAATGGGTTTCTTTGCTGGTATTTGGTGGAAAGGGAGTCAAGCCTTGGTTATCAAGTTTGAGTCCTCCTCTCCCCATTAATCGCTTCTAATCAGCACTCAGAATTTTAGCTTGAACCTGAAAACCACATACTCTAGACTGACAATATTTAACAGAGCGGATAGATATAATTTCAGCCCAATACCTCCTCTCTCTGAGAGCAAAGTGGCTGCCTTTGGCCCCAACCTCCTGCTCCCCCTCCTGGCAGGAATGAAAATCTCCCTAGAAGAAGGGGTGGGGGTGGAGAAGAAGCTGGAGATGTCTGTTCGGCCTTCCTTGAAGAAACACAACAACACCCCATGCTACATGTGGGGGACAGCTTTGCTACACTTGTGTTTGGGCTCAGAAATCAGCTTCACAAGTAAAGGATTGTAGAGGCATGGCAAGATTACAGTTTTCAAATAAAAGATTCCAGGGTTTTTGTTGACTACAAGCTTAATAGAAGCCAAGGGACTGCTGTCAGTCAAAAAACAAAAACAAAAAACAAACCTAATGTGATTTAGGCTGCATATAGGCATAGTGGTCAGAATGAGGGGGCTGACAGTCCATAACCTCAGGACATTCTGCCCTGGTCAAACCCAATACAGATCATTACGTTCAGTTCTGAGCACCAGATTTTAAGATCTTGACAAAGTGAAGTGTATTCAAGGGTGGAAAAACAAGCAGGGTGAGGGCCGTTGGACTTGTCCTCACAAGATCAGTGTAGGTTTACTGGTTCCAGAATCTACTACAGGTCATTTCATTGCTCTGGGCCTCAGTTTTCTCGTCTGTAAAATGGGGTTGAACTAAATGATGTCTTCCAGATCTCAGAGTCTGTGAAACTGAAAGTGTTGAGGTAGAAAAGGAATAACTTGGGAGAAGCAGGAGGCAGTCCCTAGACCTGATAACTTGGTCCAGTCTCATTTATCCAAAAAAGGTTTTTTTGTTGCCCTTATGTTTCATTCAAAATCTCAGTTCATTCTGAGTTTTGGCCCTTCTGACACTGTTCTTACATGGTCATGCAATTCCATTCTCCCCCAACATCTCCACTTAATAGCACTTTTTTCCAATTACAACAGTCACTTTTATAATGTTTTGATTTCCAAATTTTTCTCTCTTCCTCCTCCTTACCCCCCTCCCCAAAACAGCAAGCAACCTGATATAGGTTATACATATAGAACCATATTTAGTCATGTTGTGAAATAAGAATCAGAACAAAAGGGAAAAACCATGAGAAAGAAAAAACAAAAAACAAGTGAAAATAGTATGCCCCAATTTACATTCAGACTAGATAGTTTTTCCCTGGATGTGGACAGCATTTTCCATCATGAGTCTTTTGGAATTGTCTTGGATCATTGTATTGCTGAGAAGAACTAAGTCTATCATAGTTGATCATCACATGGTGTTGCTATTACTATGTCCTGGTTCTGCTCACTTCACTCAGCATCAGTTCATGTAAGTCTTTCCAGATTTTTCTGAAATCCACCTGCTCATCATTTCTCATAGCACAATAGTATTCCATTACATTCATATACCACAACTTGTTTATCCATTCCCCAACTGATGGATATCCCCTCAATTTCTAATTCTTTGTATCACAAAAAGAGCTGCTATAAATATTTTTGTACATGTAGGTCCTTTTCCCTTTTTTTTTGATGATCTCTTTGGGATACAGACCTAGAAGTGGTATTCCTGGATTAAAGGGTATGCACATTTTTATAGCCCTTTGAGCATAGCATGCAATTCTATTCTGTACTCATTCTCTAACACCTGTCCTAGCTTTCATCTTCTACACAGACCTATATGAAATCTAAATTAGTTGATGAGTTCCCAGTGTGTCAATACCACTGTCTTTTTAAACAGCTGTCCCTTTTCTTCCTCCCCAGGATCATCTGAATTTGTGTCTTCAGAATCTCTTTTTCAAGAGCTTCCTATTCCTCTTGGCATGATTTCCCATATAGAATTTTGGGCCTACAGAGCCTTTCTCTTTGCTCTTTGAAATTGTGCTCCCAAATTTTGGATATATGTTAGACTGTATTCTGTTGTCCTTTACTTCCATGTGATATATTGTAAAATGGAATTGTCTTGTCCATCATTCCTACTTATAATAGAATCAGGTTCAGAGTAGTAGTTTCTTTTATCTGCTTCCTCAACTTTTTCAAAATTAAGTCATTATGAAAAAAAGTCAAGAATTCATCACCTGCTGTGCTTTTTTGGGAGGCGGGGAGCAAGGGGAACATAGAGAGATAGAGAGAACAAAAGAACAAGACGTCTGGACAGCTGAATTATACATACCACCATGAATCTTGTGGAGTCCCAAAAGTGTTAACTCAAAACTACACTAAGACTTTTGGGACACTCTGTATGGTGCTGCCATGGTAATTTTATGATGCTTCCCAGATTCCTCATTTATTTCCTCCTCCTGATTGGCTGGTCTGTAACATACTGCAGCTATAATATCACTTCTATTTCTCTCTCCATTGTTCCTCACCCCAATGTCCTTCACCACGTTTCTTCCATCTAGTTCCTGGATTTCCTCAATGAAGCATGCCTTCTGACTGTGCAATGTTATTATCTTTTTGATAACAAAGTATAGCCCCCTTTTGAATAAGGTATAGCCTTCTATAATCAGCTGAATCATCAGTCCCATCACATCAAGTGTCATGATACCTATGAGATTGAATTTACCTTCTTGTAGTCAGAGATTCGTCTTATTACTTATATTTTATGTATTTGTGCACAGACATCTGAGACCATGGGTTTTATTACTGGCTCTCCTCTTAGATGTTGTCTGTTGCAAAGTCCTGGTCATCTCTACTAATCTTCTTCCTATTTTTTTAGCATCTTCCACAGTATCTAAGATACACTGTCTGTAGTTTGTAGTTGTATGTAGTTTTCTTTGCTGCCCCCCTCAACTTTCAGTTTTCTTTGGCCACCACCCCCATTTTCAGACCTTGTAAGACTCCAGGAAAATATATATATAACTGGGGTCTCCCCACATGAAGAGCCTGAAGAGTCTGCTTCCACGAGAGTTGTGATGACGTGGAATCCAAAATGCGACTCCTTTGCTCACAGCATCCAATGAGAGACAAAGCTGTAAAGGGGGAAGCCTTGGGGACGCCTCCCTTCTGAGGCCATGTGGCCTCATGAAATTGGCTTTGCTTCTTAGCCTGTATGTTTGTTCTTTTCCTCAAGAAGTGACCTTTAAGGATTGACCTTTGGAACCGCACTCAGAAATAGCTCAGATAAGGACTCATCTAGCAGTCATGCCAAATCTGCATATGAACTTGGTGGCACCAATGCTGTTAGGAACTGAGCAAGTTACCACTGTCTGCCTCTGTTTCCTCAACTATGGGAGGGAAAATGGGGATAACAATAGCACCTGGCACATAGTAGGTATTTAATAAATGCTTCTTCCCTAAGTGTGAGCCTACTGTCTCCAGAGACTAAAGTGCAGTGGGAGAGTGTATTGCCAAGGTATTGAGGGGGAAATGTCTGTATTTTTATTCATGTCATATCTTTGAAGTAAATACCCCTTTATTAAAGTTAATTGATGTTCAGTGGTTAAATAAGCATTGGGGCACTAGTCACTGGCACCTAATAGCGGTGGAAACACAAGTAACGAAGGCTCAAACCAACAGCATAAGAGAAGAAAGAGTCCTTGTAGCCAGGCAGGTTCTAGGATAGCAGGCCAGAGCATACTCATTACACACATTTTTTAATGATAGTCTTTAGGTGAAGACTAGTGCAGACTAAGAAATCATCATTACTGTACCTTACGTCTTCAATGGATCTGTGATATCACTCACATGGGTACTCCCACTAATATGCAGAGCACAGATCATTCATGAATGCTCATCTTGTGACTCCTGTCCATGTCTATGTCTATGTCCATTCCAGGGAATTCACCCAACACGGCCACCTATCTTTGAAATCAAGGTCTAAGAATGCAAATCCCAATCTCAGATGCCATCTTCTTAGCCAGTTGGTCATTTCCAAAACCTGCATCTTTCTTAAACTACCAGCTATGCCCTAAGTTTTTAAATTTCATGTCCAGAACTTAATAATCCCTACCAATAATTTAGAGGTTCCTTCTAGTGATAAATATTTGTTCCCACATAAAACATTAGAAGTGGGTAATGGTGATTATATCTGACGGTCTTGGGAGGCTCTGCATCATGTCTTGGATGCACACCTTGGCAAGACAGCCAACCTCTTCATTACTTGTCAAGCCAACAAATAGCCACTTTGGTACCCTTCATCTGGGAGATGACAACCACCACTATTGGTCTTGTTGCTCTGCCCATTACTATATGAACCTTCTCCTAATGGTGCCTACCCAGTTCATTATACTTTGTACTATCCTGTGAGGGCCCAGATCGTCTCTCAATGGAAAGAGCCTATTTCTTAGCACTGAATGTCCTGTCGTCCTTCATTTTCTCCTCTGCCAACTTCCTGGCAGAGATGAGAATTTCCCTCTGATTTTACATTCGTTTTTCCCCTTTGGTGAACATCTTGAACTCTTTTAAAGAACACTTCATGACTTACTTTACTCTCAATGCCTAGCTTTAAGACTTATCCATCAATTATGGAATTAAATTGTTCATACCCTTTGACCCCTATTCCTGAAACACTCTTCCCCTTACCTCTGCCTTATAGCTTCCCTTCAAGCTCAAATGAAATCCCACCTACTCCACGAGGCCTTTCAAAGTCACCAGAGATACTAATGCTTTTGTCACACAGAGTACTTTCCTTCTACTCTCTATATAAACATATCTACCTAGCTGTTTATGTGTGGTCTCTACCCTTTAGAATT